GAACAAATATTACATTCTAGACAGAAACACAGGCGGCACGGTGGTCTGTGGCTTTAGAAGTCTGGTTCAAGTTATGAGTAAGAAAACAGGTTTGTGAGCTCATTAAGGCTATGATTAAATATCTTCTGTGAGGTTTTATACCACAACTGCACAGCTGTCTCGTTACTTGCTGCAACAATTCCTTTTGCTTCTATTACAGGAATAAAAATGCTCGGAAGCTGAAACAGATTAGTCATGAAAATGTTGGAATAACGAAAGCAGCTCCTGGTCAGCTGCGATCAAAGGGAGTCTGAGCTGCTCTTGAAGTAGATTCCTATGATTTTGGAGTTGAGCAAAAGCTTATTTGCTGATTCCATAACTAGAACATTATTCTTTTCATTTCCCCTATAGAGGAAAACAAGAATCCACAGATTTATTTACTTCTGAGGCTTTGGGACAGTGATTGAACAATTGTATATGAATGCAAATAAGATAAAACATCATTTGCTTTTTGCATATTTTCTCTGTAAGCGTGAATACTTTTGGTTCATAGAAACAGAAAAGAAAAGCCGATTCAGTAGAGTTTTTCAGGTACTTGGTTTTGCTTGTTTACCTTCAACCAACGAACCATCATGATTTAGTTTCATAATTGTTTTACAGTACGTTTTGTTATTTTGTTTAGCCATCCATGTTTTCCTTCTGGATATTTTTGCAGATGAACTCTGTTTGTTTTCTTCCACATCATTATTATTACATGGGTTTTTCCAGTCGTGCCTGCACTGTTAATACTGTTTCTTTCAAATTACTCAAAAAAAATAAGGCAACATTTTCCAAACAAATTTTGTAAGTTTGGTCAACTAACCAGCAATATGAGTAGGTACAACTTAATAATTTCACCTTTTTTCTACACTAAAACCTGTGTCTTTCAAATTACTCCAAAAAATTAAGTCAAGATTTTCCAAACAATTTTTTTGAGTTTGGTCAACTAACTATTATTTTAAGTAGGTACAACTTAATAATTTCACGTTTTTTCTACACTAAAACCTGTGAGATTTAAATTATTCAAAAATAATCAAGGCAGCATTTCCCAAACAAATTTTTAAAGTTTGTTAAACTTAGTATTTGGACTATGGAAAAATTAATAATCTTCATTATTTTATATGAACTGAAACCTTTCTTTGATGTTATTCCAAAAAATAAACCAAAAATTGAAATTATTTAGATTTAATTCAACTTTTCAATACTAAAACAGTTTTTAAAATGTAAAAAGTAAATAATGATAAATACTGTGAAGCTGTAAATAGTCCACTTTCAACATTTATTTTTCCAAAATCATTGAAACAGTGGCACTGAAGTAAATACTAACAAGATTTGTAAATTGTAAATCTTACAACTTTTGTAAAGATTTTTACAAGCCATACACATATTACTGTAAAACATTTACATCACAGTAAACACCGGAACGGTGTGAGACCTATGCTCACAAAACTCATACTGTCAATGACAACATGAAGCATTTTCCACCTAAAATCTGGAAGCATTTCAATCGAAAAATACATGAACATATTTGTATGAAGTACAGCTGAACCTCTCAAAATTTGTAGTGTTTTGTTGTTTATATACTTGACATTTCACTTTAAAGAACAAGTCATTTAACAAGTAATTTTCAAGTGTTATCCAAACTACTTTTGAACAGAACCCATCTCAGCTTAAAAAAACTGTCACATGACAACCCAGAGCAATATCTGGAACAATTGCCTTTTGTCATTGAAAAACACATTTTATTATTGAACGAACACAACAGACCTGCTGTTCAGAAGTGTAGGGGCCACACTCAAGTTGGCTGCCTAGGTAAGAAGTTTGTTTTTCAGAGTCATGTACCTGGAGCTTGGTTTTGGGCGGAGTGTATCAAGACCCACAAAAAGTCTCTGAAAAACTTCAAACGTTTTGACAAGTTTGGTAGGATATTGGAGGTTCAGGGCGTATGTCAGACCGAGAAGCATGCTGCATGCTTTGGCTAGACTGCCAAGATTAGTGAGCACCGGCACTCCCTCGATGATTATTCCTACAGCATCTGGATCATGGCAAATGTAGATCATCATGCTGCGCAGTTTTAGGTCCTCGTGCACGCTGGTCTCTGGGCTTCCCTTAATGACAAACAAAGACAATGGCAAAACATCAATTAAAAAAATTAACACAAATACCAAAATCATCAGTTCCTGACTTTTTAGCCAGAATTATTTGTGTCTCAGTAACATTAATTTCTATGGCATTTTTAATGCAAATGCTGCATGACTTGAAGAGCTAACATTAAATAAATAAAATAAAAAAAAGCTTTAAATTGTATGTGTTCATCTACATCAGCGGTACTCAATAGGCGGCCCACGGGCCACATCTGGCCCGTGAGCCCTTTCTTTTTTGCTCCCGAACCTTTCACACCCAAGGATCCAATCAGTTCTGTTATTTTCCTCATTCGCACTGACTGAGATAACGGCGCAGTGTGCGTGGCTCTGGTGTTAATCAGGTTTAATGTTTCTGTTTGCAACCATCTTCACAAGAAGGCAAAATAGTTAAATGACAGGGTTCGCACGGACCGGATATTTCCTGTATTTGAGTGTTTATTTTGACGGAGAAATCTCAAGCCTACAGATGCGCTGACATTTTTATCGTTACACACATCGTGGAGGTAGCTACATCAATCAGGAAAAGATAACCATCAGAACATTTGAGATGGACACTGAGCTCAGCGCAGCTCGCCGTCAGCGCATGCGTATGGTGAACAGCAAGCTGAAGATGTGTAGATCGGGGGCTTGGAACGCATCGCAGAACCAGAACCATGCAGGAAGATTCTGTGTTTTCTAAACCCGGTCTCTCAGAGACTAGTCACTTAGAAAATGTTCCCTGATTATGAATCTTTGGCTTAATAGCGCTTGTTCCTGTCTCCAACACTACGACGCATCCATGAGCCTGTCTGAGGAACAGTCCAGAACCTCACATCCTCTACGACGCATCCATGAGCCTGTCTGAGGAACAGTCCAGAACCTCACATCCTCTTCAGCTCAGAAAGCGCCTAGAGACATTTGATTACGCACAAGCAGGTGACCTGTTCAGGTTTACATCATAGACTGTACATATACTGGACAATTCGATTCCATAGGCTTCAATAACACGTTATCTGTCCATAATGGGAGGTGTCCACCACCGCCATTTTGACCGTGTCACAGGTTCCGTCCAGCCCAGACAATTCCATAAAAGGGAAGAGAGGAGGCGCTGAGGGTGGGGCTGTAAGGCTGGGCTCGAGTGACGACACCCAGGCGAACTAGCTACGAGCTAACCTGAAGCTAACCCTGGCTAACCCAAAGCTAAAGCGGAGGTGGGAGCCGAGCTAACGGATGTAGCCACCTAGCTTCAACCCAACCGGAGCTAACTGGAACACCCATCGAACTGAACCTCACACGGAGTTTAGGTGGAGGTTTTCTGCGCCTGTTCGTGAGAAGTACCTGTATTAAAAAAGTTTTAAATCGGTAAGTTTATAATTTATTTCCGTAATGAATACATTTTGCTTTGAGCAAGTTTTCAGTAGTTTTTTTCGGCGCTATCACTCCTGAGTCGCACCAGCCATTAAATGTATCATGAATAAGAGAAAATATATTTAAGTCGTATTTTGGGGGGACATTTTATTATCTTTCTTACAAAATCTGAGACCAAGCGTTTCACATAGCAACACAAGCACCGGTAACCATAACAGAATGAACAACAGCCAGCAGAGGAGAGGATGGCGGTGTTTCAAACCCTCCCGGCCGGCGAGGACAGCTCATTCCTGGGCTGGAGCCGGCCCTCAGCACCCCGCCACAGGCTCTAACAGATGCTGGCGGTGTTTGAAACCCTCCCAGCGGGACAGGGGAACTCATTCTTGTGTGGGTCGGAGTCGGCCCGCAGCAGCGCGGTGTAGCCTACATATTTTGTTATATAAGTCGCTCCGGAGTATAAGTAGCAGGACCTGCCAGAAAATGTAAAAAAGTGCGAGTTATAGTCCGGAAAATATTGCAGTTATTAGTATTCGAGCTAAATTAGCAGCGTAAATACATTTCATATATTTCCAAAATGTTATACTTGTTTGTATCTTGTACAGCCAACTAGTCTTTATTCTGGACTCAGTACAATTTATCAAAAGTAAAGAGACATTCTACAGATGAAGTAAGCACAAGATAACTTACTGGAAGACACAGAGTTATCATGAGAACCAGAACAAGAGAGCCTGATAACAGTCATGTGAAAATAACAGTTAAAAAGTATGTATGTATAATAGAAATAAAAATATATTAGAATTAGTGTAACTCACTGTGATCCAAACAATAAATCAGCCATAGCTGATTAGTAAATATGACATGAGGTCTGGGAGTTTTTAAGTTTCATTTTTATTTTTTTGTTAGATCTGTTTAAATGTCACCATGGCAGCCTGTGTGTCTCCAACATCAGCTATGCAAAGCAGCAAGTGTAAGTTCCACATACCTGTCTCACCACTTCATGTATGGTTTTGTACTTTAAACAATTATGACAAACCTGTTATTTTTTCTCCATAGCCATTTGGATAATTGGAGACAGCTACGTGAGGCGTGGTGCCCAGAGAGCTGCAGAGACAACCTTGGCCTCCCTGACGTCTGTGTCTCCTGGTTTGGTTGGGGTGGACCATCGACATACATACATGTGCCGACACTTTGCGCCCTGTTTTATAAAATGTAGTGTTAAAAATAAATGTTTTTGCTCAATTACTGGAATTTCTTTGGTTAAGACAAAAGTGAGGAATAATCATTTACAAGTTATTTGTACAACAGGCCCATTTTAAATCCCAACAGTTTCTTAGCAGACAATAGAAATGTGTTCTTTACTAACTTTACTTGGTTTAAAAATCTTACTAAAATAGTGCCGTATTGCAAAACCCAATCATACTTGTTATGTATACATTAGTTTTGTAGATATTTTTTAGATATATATTTGTGTGCAACAAATCCAAACTTAAATAATTTGTCATTCTTTATTGAAAAACAACAAAATACAGTTATACAGAAGTGTGGGAAAATGATAATGTGAAAGTATTGCTATTTAAATGTAATCCTATTTATCTTTAAAAAGAAAAACTCTAAAAATGTCCTGTACAGCATCATGACAGAAGAATGGTGGTCTGTCTGTCAGAATGTGCTGAACAGATTTGCTCTTTGAAGAGGAGTGTCATGTTTGGAGGAAGGTACTTAACCCAAGACATGCAGAATACACCACTGACCAAAAACTGATGGAAAAAATGATTTATTTATAAGGAGGAACTTAAGGTGCACAGATAAGTCTGTGGTTGGAACTGCAACAACAGCTCAGCGTCTGGAGGAGGGAGAACACAGGTGAGCTTAGGTTCTGGTTTCAAAATCCATTGTAGGCAGGCAGAGGTGTTCAGCAGACTTACTGTGGTGGGTGTATGTGTTGGCTGGAGGAGGGAGAGGTAGAGAGGAAGCGCAGGAGAGGGAGCAGAGGTGGAGAGAAGCGGGGCGTCCTGGTGGATGGGGCACTGGGTGAGATGAGAGGTGGGTTATGGAGGGTGGTGATAAGGTCCGTGTGTTGAATATCCAAATCCTGGAGTAGAGGTCAGTATCCAATGAGGTCGACAGGAATCCTGAAGAATGGTAAATCCAATATAATCCTAGGAACACTAGAGGTAACACGAGTGGCTGGTTACTACCAAAACTGAGGCAATCTTCTGGCGTCAAATTGTGTCCTCCATCCACCTTAAATAGGAAAGCACCCCGCTGATCGCTGATCAGGAACAGCTGGGGTGTAGTCACCAGAACCATGAAGAATGTGTCTCCAGAGACAACTCGGGTCCTGGTACCAATCAGGAAAGCGGACCTTATCACCCAGAGCTGCCAGGTCACGCTCAAAGCCTTCATGTTCACGCTGCAGAGCCTGAACGCTGGCTAGGTGGTGGCCGTAGTTGTCTGTGTTCAGGGCCTGGTTCTTCTCCTCGATCCACTCTTTGGTCTCATCAGCGTCTCTGAGAAGACATCAGAACTCCGTCTGAGTGTGGGTCCAAACTCTACTGACCCGTAAGCGGCGCATAAGTGTGCGGGGTACCTGTGGAAGCGCTACACCTCATGGGCGCTGCCCAGCATGTTGCAGCGAGCGCCAGCGGTTGTTCAGCTCCTGGAGAGAAACCAAACCCAGTGAGATGAAGGTGGACGCCAGCGGGCTGGACGCCGGACGAGGAAACCTGGAGACGGATCGCTCAGACAGGAAGGGAAGAGCTTCCTCTTACCTTGATGGAATTAAAGTTAGCCGTCGTCTGAACGCCCAACCGTACGGTCTGAGGTCAAAGGTCACAGGAAACACACACCAGTCAGCAGTCATACAGATGCATAAAGATAACTGTAGCCATGGCAACCAGCTGACATGTCCCCACTTTCACCAGCACCTGGTGCCTGCCGGGTCACCTGAATTCCTGTGTGATTTCAGCACGGTCGGCCGTGACTGCGGCCATCAGAGGTGACCTCTGATCAGCTGAATGAACTCACCTTCTAGGGTGACGCCGTCTAACCCCGGGTTTCCACGGGAGCCGTCAGCAGCACGTTACTGCAGCAGCTTGTCTTGCTCGCGTAAGCTGCTGCTCGGCCCTTCCCGCGACATGCTGCTCCTGAGACGTGGCCGACTCGCGCTGCTGACGGCTCCGGTGGAAAAGGTTCTGTTGACCACAGCGGTTCCTATCAGCAGCTATGACGTGCTGCTGCAGTAACGTGCTGCTGACGACTCCTGTGGAAAGCCGGGGTCAGAGTCGGCTTCATCCTGTAAACAAACAAATGAGTGGTAACAAAAACACCACGTCTGGTTCTGGTGGAGGCGGAGGACAACACGCACCTTTCCAGGAGCAGAACCCAGATGTTCTTGTTGCTACAAACAGAGACGAGCAGAGTTAACAAACCAGGAAGTGAGAGGGACCAGCTGCTGCAGACAGGTGACGCTCACCTGAGCCTGAACCATAGGAGCCTCCTCAGCCATCAGACCTTCTGACTCCAGTTCAGATGCCACCTTGTTGATGTCCCTCAGGCGGGACTCGTTGGCCTTCAGGTCCTGCAGGACAAAAGCACCTGCTGATTATCACCTGAGCTGATCTGACAGCTGCTGCTGGAAGACGGAGAGGAGGAAAAGTCCGACCTTCTGGAAGTCGTCAAACTTCTTCTGCAAGACCTCGACCTGCTCCAGGTCCGACCCGTCTCTCCATCCTCATTCAGCTAAAGACGCGAGTTCAAGTAAAACAACCTAAAGTCACACAAACACAAAGCAGGTGTGGAGATGTTCGCTCTGAGCTGGAGGTCGTTCCTCGGCTGTGAAGGGCACACGAACCTTGTTGGTGCTGTTGAGCAGCGTGAGGATGTCGCCCTTCTTCATGGTGACCTCTCCAGGACTCTTCTCCTGGTAGTCGTACAGAGCCAGAACCAGCTCCTTCCCGGTCTCATCGTCAGTTGGAGCCACTTGTTGCTGTCGGGTTAACAGGTCTGGTGTTAGAACGTGGTGGATAAGAATGTTCTGATGGGCCGAGGGTTCTGAACCAGCGAAGTGACCTGGACCCAAACAAAGTGAGCCAGAACCTGCAGACACCTCAGAAACATGTCAGGACCAGACCTGCTCTACCTTCTTCCACCATGGTCTCTCCTTTCTGGGTGACAGCCTTGATGCGAGGTTCATGACCTGTGATCTCAGCCTGCAGAGCCTGGTGCTTCTTCAGCAGGTTCTGGACACCAATCAGGTCCTTCCCTGAGGACACATGTTAGAGTTCAGCATTATGCAGTAGACAGACCAGTTTAACCCAGGGGTTTCTTTCTTCTACAATCTGCTCTTTAACTGTACTATTTCCTGCTATTTCAGCTGTTAACTTTATTTTCTCTCTAAGTGTTTTTCTCCCCAGAAGAAGCTACAACGATGTTCTGCTGAGCTGTGGTGGCCTCATGGAGGGGGCCATCATCTAGCACACTGCCGCTAACCACTTAATCATTCTCCCTCTCCTGATAATAACATTTTACTTTCTTTGATGTTGGATGTACTACTGCTAGTTTACCCGTTTAATTATAGATCCACTAGGATAAATACAATAAAGTTTATCTCTCGCCAAATAGAATATTTACTAAGAAATCACAATGTAACGTGTGTGTGTGTGTGTGTAAAAGCCATGCGTAGTGTTTATTTATAAAGCATATGTTGTTGGATTTTATCCAGAATCGAGACTTTGAAAATATAAAGTTTAATTACAGTTTGATTTATTTGACATCTGTATAATGTTTATTATTTTGTTTTTTCCCCCTAAATACCTAACGTTTTAGTTAACATGAATATTAGTCATTCATCCCAATACATAAAGTTACACATTTTAAATTTTAATAGGGGAAGACTGCAGGAGGGAGCAGTAAAATACAGGGGGTCCCCTGCAAAAACTAACTTTAGGAGTCTGATGAAAGTTGCTGGTATTCCCGCTGCTTCTTCGGTAAACAGCGCCAACAAAAACAAAGAAACTTGGGATCTTGTCGGCGTGGCAGTGGGATTTAAGGGAAACGCTGTATGCCCTATAGACTTCTCAACGAGCTGCAGTATTTCTCCGGTCAGATCTGTCTCCGAGTTCCACAAGCGGTCAGCCCGCAGCAGCGAGGCGCCGCATCGATCAGCCTGCCCGGCCTGACCGCTGGGGATTACCGGATGAAAGAATAGAGCACAGAAGTGTCCCCCCAAGCGGCGCGCCCCGTCATATTTCAACCCATTTTTATCTTAAATGCACTGGGTTTTACCCTATTACCCATTTAAATATGCCCTATTAATTATTTTACCGTATTTTACATTTAAATGTCATGGTTAAACAGTACATGCTACATGTTAAACTGATAGTTAGCTGGCTACTTCGGTAAACTCAGCTAGTTTAAAGGCAGCAGTGACATAAAATACAAATATAGATTTTAACTTACCGAAAAAAATGAAGTGGAGACTCCTTGGACGCTCTATTAGTGCAATTAATACCACAGCAAGTCATTTTGTCCAACAATTGCACCAATATTATCCAAAACAGAATTCACAAGCACAGAGACTCAAAATCCCGACACAGTTTCCAGGAGAGACCGAGGCTGTACTGAGGCCTTTCCACGGAGCTAGCTATGTGGTCACGTGGGTCTGAGGCGGCGGTCACGTGTGTCGGATGTTCATTAATTATACAGAATTTTAGGCTTTCAATACACTTAAACAGAAGAGTGAGAAAAAAATTCACCCCCCTCAGAGTTGTCATGAGTATAAACTAGATAATTTAGACAAAAAACCATTTTTTGAACCAGGCTGTAAACATGTTTATTTCTGCTGTGAAAATGGCATTTTTAACATGGGGGTCAATGAGGATTTGCTCGCTTCTGGTACCAGCCCCCAGCGGATGAGGGTGGAACTGCAATTTTTCTTACTTCCGGGTTGGGACCATTTTCTGAGCGGCATTGTGGGGGCTTGGTTTACATAGACAATCTTTACATTTAGAATTGGCTACAGATAAAAAATGAATGCAGTAAAATAAAATACATTGTAATTAAATATTCATTAATTATTTTACAAGCAGAGAGCCGCATCAGATGGATGAAAGAGACGTATGCGGCTCCAGAGCCGCGAGTTGCCGACCCCTGGCCTAGTAGTGGAGTGTCTGCCCTGGAACTTGGAGATAGAGGTTTGATTCCTGGTCAGGTCATACCAAAGATCTTAAAAATGGTACCCAATGCCTCCCAGCTTGACACTCAGCTTTAATGGGTTGGATTGGGGAGTTAAACTACCAAATAGTTACCGAGCGCAGCCACTGCTGCAGCTCACCACTCCCCTTCATCGGGATGGGTCAAATGCGGAGATAAATTTCATCAGTGTGGGATGATGGCTATGGAATTTGAACTGTAATTCAACATCAACAGTCAGTAATATAGATGAGTTTTTTGGTTAAAATGTTTCTCTAATATGTATTAAATTTATTAGGACTGTAATGTGCTGAGTTCTTCCTTTGTTGCTGGAGTTCCCTGCACACGTTCCGCTGCTGTTTCTCACCAGTATAAGATGATGGAGGGCTCTAGTTTTGTTGTGCCGTTCGTGTCGGGTGGCCAAGCAAAGCCTGGCTTATAAAGCGCTGGGGGAAATCCTGCAAATGTACGACTAACCCCCAAATTCCACTACCTCCGCTCCGCTCCGGTCCGCCCCCGGCTTCCGCAGCCGCTCGCTTCCGAACTCAATTTTTACTGGTACCCGCTCTACAACGGCTCCGCTCCGGTGCGGAGACCTGAGGTGGGCAAACAAGCATGCGCGGGATTTTCGAGATCTTGCGATACAGTCCGAGCAATAAACGCGGAAGTTAGATCCAAACACCCGTTGTGTGGGAGAAGCATCGGCATGAACTGTTTAATCTGCCCATCATTTGTGTTGAGAGATCAGCAGTGTTTGGATCAACAAAGTGTGACTACTTTGATAGTGGAAACTGTATTTATGGCTTATTTTTGTGCATTTAAACTTCAGCCGCCACTGATAGTTGTTAAAAGTTGTTAAATCTGTGCATATGAAACAAAAAACGCCTTTTGTTTATCGATGTATTGTGAAAAACGGAATTTCTGCTTGCTCCTTTTCCTGTTGGGTGTTTGTGATTTCTGTCCATTGACTGCGGAGGTGCTCCGGCGTCCGGTGAAAATAGGATCGATTCTATTTTTGCCGGACGCCGGAACAGAGGGCGGCGCACGGCCGCAGTAGTGGAATTGCTCTGATTGACTAGAACGGGACCGATTTTGCTCCGGCGTTCGTGTCGGAGCGGAGCGCAGCGGAGCGGAGGTAGTGGAATTTGGGGGTGAGAAGGGAAAGGTTAACAAGTACAACATGGCATTGTTGTGCCTAAAGAGTTCACTGAACGATTTGTAAACTTGTTTATTTTGTTGTAAACGTAAACTTAACTTGCTCGTATATTTGACCAATCAACGTTAAAGTGAGCTCGTTAACATGAACAGCGACTCCCCATAACTCACTGGATATTTGTGAAAACAGAGCAGACACACAGATGCATTTGCACACATCAGTGTTTCCCTTACGTAGGCTCAGGCGCAACGGCTGAATTTCAGTGCTCAATCATCCTGGAGGTTATACTTTGTGGATGTTTATTAAAACAACTATGCAAAACTAGGGTAGCCTATTTTTATTACTTATCAAATCCAGTTTGTGCAACAGATTGATTCAATCTTGGCCCTAATAATTTACTTACATAGTAGTCCGAGATGAGTTCCTGTCCACTCTCTCCCATGTACTCAATGAGGCATCTCAGAGTTACGTCTCTCTTCTGCACAGTGGAGACATTTGTGTCCTAAAGTTAATGAAAAAGTCATTAAATTAATTAAAATTCTGACAACAGAAAAAAAGTCTCTTTTTGACACACTACCCACAATTTTTTGATACATACACATTCAAACAAAACGTGTGTAGTGGTATTTCCCAGTAAAAGGTTGATATCAATAGAAAAGGTCTAATAATTTAGACGTAGCATTATTTTTATTAATTTTTATTTACATCAAATTGCTTTCTTTTGCACCTGCGATCTTTTGAAGTAAGAAAGTAACTTTTGATTTAGCATTAACTAAGCTTCCATACAATAAATCAGTTTAAAAAACAGCATGACAACTTACCAAAGTACTGCACAGAAAGACAAAAAAGCACCATAAACGTAGACGACAAAAAAGATGACAGCGAGAAAAACAAACAAACAAACAAAAAAAGCATCATAATAACCAAATTTCCACAAAAAGAAGCAGAGCATCGAAAAACAGCCACACATAAGCAAAAAGTTATAAGTAGGGATCACTGACCTAAAGCAAAATGGTTGAAATATAACTTCATTATGGATTTAGACCAAGCAAGCAATCAAGCCCACTGCACATATGTGTACATTCCAAAAATTGTGGCTGGCAAACAAGAAAGCCCTTGCCCCACACAATTTAGATCACATCTATTGCTGGCACGATTAGTCGATTCTTCATGATGACATCAACAAAATGAAATTAAACAAAGTAGTCGACTACAAATTTAATAGTCGACGTTTATTCTATGAGCGCTTTTAAAAAAAAAAAACAATTTATTTTGGGTTTTGGTGCCTACCTCCCTTTACTGTGTAGCATTTGTATTAACAGGTTAGAAAGTTATTTAAAGTTGTTTGATAAGCGATCATCTTGTCTTTATTATTAGATGGCACATAAATGATAACACTTCAATCTAGTAGCTAATGATGGCTATATTAAGCATCTTGTGGAAAAAGCTATACTTTTTTGCATGACGTGATTAGTCGACTAATGGTCAACAAAAGTGGCAATTAGTTGATTATCAAAATAGTTGTTTGTGGCAGCCCTAGTCACATCTTACCCCTTCTTTCCACTGGACTTGAACGCAGCACCTAACAAAATAGCAGTGTTTTACCCATGAGCTCAGTCCAAACCGGGAGTGATTCACACGTGAAACATGAGCAGGAGGCTTGTTTTGTTTTTATAATCGTTCAAAACTCAGATCGTAATCGTGATTAAAATTCGATTAATTGAGCAGCCCTAATGTATGGGGTTAGATGCTCAGACAGGTGGACTGTTCAGGGCTTTGAAACCAAAGTTAAAACTTCAAACTGAAAATGAATACAGATGACTTAATGTAATACCATGATTTTTTAACTCACCTGTATCAGTTCCATCAATAAGTTCTTGATGCGCTGACCAACTGCTCCTCCCTTGGCACTGAACAAATCCAGGAGCTTTGGAGTACATTTATCCAGCTGAGACATGAATGTAGACTGTAGAGGAACAGCAGTGCACCTTTGGAACTCTGCATTTATCTATAAAAATGCAAATGATTATCAGTAAATGCTTTAAACTAAGTAAATAAAGAACAGTAATAAAACATGAATAATAATCATTGACCTGAAATGTATCGAAGAGAGCGGGCCATCTTTCCATAAAGTTTGTCACCCTTGGGGACTGAGAAACCACTTCTTTTCTTCTCAAGCTGTATGTCCTGGTCATCAGGTAGTTTATGTCTTTGCCACAGTCTTTTCTCTTGCTGGCAGTTATTATTTCAAGCCTCATATTCTCAAGAGTGTCGTCTGTTTCACCAGGTGGATGTGGAGGAAGGTAATTAAGTTCTGCCCTCTTTGCTTTCTTGATGTTTTTAGCAACTTCTTGCTCATCACCAGGCTTTTGTGACAATGAGTTGATCAAGAGTTCAGGACTTCCCAGTGCTCTACGTTTTGTGCGGTAGTTTCCACATTTGTATTTCAGGCTTTGCTGCCATCCATAAATTCCATTAAAAGACCCTGGTTCCTTCAAGCAGGGATGCTTCTCAACTAGTGCCTGTGCTACAGCACTTCTTTGGGCATCATCAGGGTAAGCAGTATAAGAAAACATTGCTTCTGCCAGACGCTCAAGGATGTCAGATCTGAAACCAGGTGATGTCATCGGGGTGCCCTCTTTTAAATATGTCTCATTGCCTTGTTTCAAAGCAAGCTCAGTGTTGTGTGAAAAAGTTGGAATGGGAAACACAGCAGGCCAGGGGTTCTGCCTTTCAAAGGTGGACTGACTCAAAATGACAGTATCTTGGGAATCCAGTGAGCCACTAGCACTGTCACTGTCAAAGGAGGACATCACAGATACATCACAGTTGCTTTCTTGGTCAGCAACTGTCAAATCTAAGCATATAGGTGCATATACAACTTTAAGTGTGTCTTTATCTTTCAGTTCATTTGTAGATGTTACGGTGAAGAAGTCACCAAAATCTTCATCTTTGTACTGAAGACTTATATCTGTGGGGATGGACAGATTTTCCTTGACTGCTGCAACCAACTCAGCCACAGTTGAGGGTACCCCACTGCTGAGTGTAACTTTTTTTATTTGATCATCAATTAGGATGCGGAATCTTACAGTTTGCTCCATGTCTTGAAAAACTGAAGACAGAGAAAAGATACAATGATTCTCAACACCTGAGACAGATGTGGCGCTTTAAAGTCACCATGCGCTTTCCTTCAACAACATAAGCTGAAAGAGGACATATATCACTAAGGCTTTGTTGTTCAATGAGAATTGTGTGATCTGTCCTCTCCAAGTAATATCCACGATAATGTTCATCAAACCAAGACACCAGTGTCCTCAAAATAAAATGCACTCTTTCTGCAAAAATAGTTATTTGAATAATTTCTGCAAAATCAGGAAGACCTGCAGTAGAACCATAGGCCACAATCATGCCTTGAGTGTATCTTGTTCCCTGATATGTGACTGTGTCAGCCAGCTGTACTTGATCATGTGAAGGATAAAGATGCTTGATTGATGCCTGAATATCTAAATGCAGGACATCCAATGGCACTGACTTTACTCTAACAACACCAAGTGCAGGCTCAATTGTTGTAGAATGCAGGTAATGGCTCATCATAAGTTGGTGCTTTGTAGCCATGGATAAAAGGACATTCTTGAAGTTGCCAGTATGCCTTACTATTCGTTTAAACTGGCTATGTTTCGCTTCAAACCTCATTGTCCAAAAAGCTATCAAAGGTCCAAAAGCCTTGATCAATCCTGGATAATGCTCCAGAAAGTGATGCTTTGGGATGAAATCTTCATCAGGAAATGCTTCCTTGAATCTGTATCTGTGTTCAGAAATCTTGTAGTCAAGGTAGGCAATGCTTTCTTCATTGTGGACTGGAGCAACGACAAGTTCAACAATGTCTTTTAAAGACATAAGCAAAAGCCAGTTTGGATCATTCAAAGGAATTCTGTGCCCAATGATAAATGGCAAGAGTCGTATGAGGGTCCAATTTTCATGAGCATTTCCTCCTAGCTTTTTTTTTGAGGAAAGGTTTGCAGGTAATGCCTGTGGACAATCAGTTTTATCAGCCCATTTATAGGGAAACTGCAAGATAGCACTGTTAAGCTCAATAAATGAGAAATATTTCTTAGAAAGGAAAACACTGAAGCACAGACCCAGTTCCAAAGGAACAATGCCTTCAAAAATGTCATGCAGTATGTCAGGTGGGTAGCCAGTGACACAATGGAAGTACTTCAGATTTTCAGTCAATGGGCAAGACTTTTTTACACCATAAAAATGTGTCCAAGCAGGATTTGCTTTAATGGTCAATACATGCGACGCATGTTCCTCTTTGGTGCGAAGAGGAAATGCACCTGACCGCACCTCCTTTATCTGAAAGTCTGATCACTGACCAAGACAAAATCTGCAAACAAATGGTCCAGAAAAATTTTCAACAAGTCCACTGATTGAGTGTGCTCCCAGATTGTCTGCTGCTACACAAAGCACACTTCCTTTTACATTTTGTCCCAACGTCGAAATGTAGATCCCATCCTGTTCTAAGATAGCAATGTCTTTCAACAAAGGGGCAAGTACTTGATCATAGCCATATTTTTTTATGTCTACGGCTTTACATAAAAGGGCCAAGTACACAGAGTTCAGAGTGGATCGAGATGAGAGAGGGTTGTTGTTAAATGTCCAGTATACAGCTGTTATCTTGTGCTTTTTTCTTGATGTTCCAAGTGGATTACAAATCTCAAAATCATCTATATACAGTAGAAGAGAAATTCGTAGTTCTTCTGAATAGAACGAATTATCTTTATAGATAGTAGCATCACGATATGATTTGTATAAAGTTGATGGTAACTCACGTTCTTTGCTTAGAATCTTTTCTCTTATATTTTGTTTGGCCAATAACTGAGTCAAGGACTGAAGAATTGGGACATACTGAAAACAACTCTTCTCTTTTGGTTCAAGGATGCACTCAATAGGCTCAACTACTTCAAAGTTTTTTTTAAAATAATCTCGTCTCCTGAACGATGAAGACAGAGGACCACCACTATTGAGTGCTAAGCTTAGAGGATTTGATTTGCACAGTTCTTCAACAAGAGATGAAACAAATGTCTCATCTATGGTTTGATTTGTTTTTGTTAGATGTGAAACAACAATATCTCTAACTGATGATTTTGTAGCAGAACTTGAAATAAAGTAAAGATCATCTACCAGTTCATCAATGCACCGAACTGAAACGAGATGAACACTTTCTAATTTCAACAAGAGGGATGCTATATAATCAATAACCAGAAGGCTTCTGTCTTCCTCTTCAGACTGTGTATTAGCCCTACTCACTTCACAATTTCCTTCACCGTGATCACCAACCCCACTATACGTTTCAAATACTAGCGCTTCTTCTGTGTGTGGCAATTGCCCTTGACAGATAATGCCAGGTTTGAAATCCTTTAAGGAATGTGGAGTATGTTTTCTGTGTTTGTGTGTTGCAAAAGTCCCATAAATATTTGTTTGGTGATTACACCCTGTGAAGACACACTTTACAGTCTCGTTATTCTTCAGATGATGACCTAGGTGTTCAAAAAAGTCTTTTTCACTTGGGAATCCTTGTTTTTGACATAATATGCAGGTGTAAGAAACATCTACTTGTGACTTGAGGGAATGAACTGCTTGATGGGATCTTGATAAGTGAGAACGAAGGGAACTCCAGTTTTTAAAAGAGCATGGGCATTCTACATGAATACAGGGCAAGGCACAACTGTGTCCATAGGTTCCATGATGCAGTCTATAATGCTTTAAAATATCAGTCTTTACTGGTAAAACCTTGGTGCACAATTTACAGGGCCATCCCATCTGTAATAAAAAGAAAAGCATCGCTTATCGTTGTGCAAGTTAATAAAGCTACATATACACAGAGAGATAGCATAGGTATTTAGGTTTTTTTTAAACTCATAAAAGTCTTTTTTGGGAACAGTAGTTTGGTTTATTTGAAGTAGTGCTTTATAAAGGTACTTTTAAGTTGTTACTTGCCCACAATAAATACATATAGTTATAGCTGCTTGATTATGCTAAAAACTGTTATCACGATTATTATGACTGAAATTGAGATCTAGATTATTTTACAATATTTTGAAAGTTGATAACACACATATACTAATACTACTCATCAGTGTTGTGCCCAAACGCTTTCATTGAACGACGGTTTGTGAATTTGTTCGTCTTTTTCATGAATGAAAGCTGAACTCGTTTGTGTTTTGCCTGACGAACGTAAAAGTGAGTGTGTTCGTTCTGGAGTGCGTGAACGGGTTTATTAACACGTTCTTTTGCCGTTCTAGCTCCAGATCTCCACGGAGTATCTCCGGAGCTAAAGACTAGCTAAAACATCCTGTTACATAGATTTTATAAAAATTAGAACCCGCAAATTCTGCCAAACATATGCAGCAGTGGTTGGTGCGGCGTCTACACTTATGTCTATGCTGTGTGGAGGATGGACGTCATGGTGCGTTCCATGTACCTCGGAAAATAATTGTACTTAACGTTGATTTTAGATGCACCCTTAAAAGTTTATCTTGTAAAATAAACATGTTTTTGTCACATCTACTATTTGTATTCTGAAGTTAAAATTTCCGAGTAGGTGGTAAACTGGAACAAACCGGAGAGAAAACAGATGTGAAAACACTACAGTCACACCGGTAACATTTACAATTCGTTTATTTATCTATTTGCGTTGTTTTTTTTACCAAATAATTTGGGGCTGATTGTTGCCCTTTATGACTCAATCTCTTTAACTTTATTTTTCTTGGGCAAACAAGTCAGAAAAGTCACAGAATTTGAGAAGTTATTAAATTTAAACATAATTAAATGTTTAAAACTTGGAGGTAAATCCTTGTTTCCTATCTCAGCCTGTAGTAATGAAAGTCATTCAAACAGACATTCAAATATATGTGTGTGTGTTTTTGGCTACAGAAGCACATAAACAAACAGATACGCGAAGTAGTGATCTTTAACAAACAAAGCAACACATTTTCAGTGTGATATGCTTGCCAGCCACTAGATGGTGCCATCAGATAAGAGAAATACTCCGGAAAGAAGCTTTAATTTAGCTCAGATAGAGTAACTTATTTTATCCAGCAAGATAATTTGGAGGTATGGTGGGAGGGGACATGAAAATAGTCAAACACATGTCTCACATTCATTGCATGGGAGTTTGCAGCCATGATCAAACACAAATCCACATTAAATATGGCTCACTCCATCTTGAAATTATTTTGCTTGTAAAACAGATGGTCTGGTGCATGAGTTAGCTCCACCAAGGAAAGTTTATGACTGATCAGTCGATGTAACGTGATCATGCTGTACATGCGCACATCACTCACTTTCCTAGTGTTTCCCCTACATAGGCTCAGGCATGGCGCTGCACCATGCCTAAAACTCCACTGTCACGGCCACGAAATATCCGCCCCTCCCCCACCGCTCTGACGTGAGACACAAGGAGGCGAACGGCCTGCGTTTTGTTTATTTCAAATCCAAATTGTAATAGAGATTAGATTTCACTTAATCAAGCAGCCTTACATTTAATGCATTTATTGGAGCGTATATAAATATGAGAAAACAGCTTTTAGCCAAGGAAGCGCTTTTTTTTTTACCGTGTCCTGTCTGGCTGTGAAGCAAGCAGAATTGATGTCTGAATGCTGGTGACAAGCCTTACAGATTTATTCTCAGGCGGAGCATCAAAGCGTTTGCTTTTAATGTCACGCCTGATACTTAAAACTTTACAAATGTCATACACCTTCACTTCAAAATAACCCTAGCTGTTACTGAAAGAAAGAACAGAATGTTAACTGACTTATATATTTAGTGAAACTAAAATATTTGACCTTAACTTACCTAATGTGATCTTCAAAGAAGACAACTTTTTGTGGAATTGCCTCAATTACGCAGATCTGATGTTCTTCTAAAGAAAAAATAAAGAAAAAATGTATTAATTGTTGAATGATATTGACTCATTCGCTGCCAGCCATTACCTGATCGGTAAAGCCCTTCACTGCCAGCCTTTCTCACCGTTTTTACTGTTTTTTTATGAGTCACAGAACGTTTCGCTCTAGGATGATGTCGACGCCAAAACAACCAA